GCCCAAACCTGGCGAGCACGCCCGGTGTGATGCCCGGGCCTCAGCGGCGCGAGAGAAGTCCGCCGACATGCGATGCCTTGATTTTTCCGATGTTCGGAGGCGAGGTTGACACCAACACCACTATCAGCGGTGTGCCTCCATGGAGGGAAGAAGATCCCGATCTCGCTGATGGTGGTAATATTCTGGCTTCCAAGGTGGCCGACATATTACCACCAACACCAAAATCTAGGATCATCTTCCCCCTGGGGAGGCAACCCCCTGTGTTGGTGTTGGTGCCCATTTCCAGGCCTCCGAGATGTGGGGTTCCTTGAGGTCCCGACCCTTTGCCCAGGGTCCGTTTTTCATCCCGAGCTACTCTCTTCATGGTCCTGGGGTCTGGCGAGAGCCCCCAGGGGCCGAACATGGCCGAAAACCTCCCGTCAGGATTTTTCGCGACGACGACGACGACGACGGTTGTTTCTTGGCTCATAACGCGGACCTCCAGCGGCCGTTCGGGATGTTCCAGGCACCCCCGGAACGCCCTCGGCGAGGCGCAGCCGCTGGAAGGCGTCCCGAGACTGGACAGCGCCGACAACCGGCGAACACGTTCGGACAGCTCGAGCCTCGAAGCGCCCCCCCCCCCCGCACGGCACGAGGGCATTGAGTCAAGCAGCGAGCGCAGGGCAGTGGCGCAGTGAGGTCCGTGCACGCTCTCACCGTGGACTTGCGGAGCTGCAGCGGGGTCTTCTCGCCGCCGCCCTGCTTCCCCGGCGAGCGGCTGCCGGCGCGCGCGGCCATGGACTCCGGCGTGGCGCTGATGACGATGTCGACCTTACAGTCAACCCGTATCATGAGGATGCGCGGCAAGGATGCAAGGGCCTCAGAGGCCCATGTGCACGTTCTGCGAATGGGGTTGGCCAGCGAAAGTGGCCAAGGGTTGGCCGAAGGGGCACGGATGCAAGGGTACACGTCGTTCATCTCAAATCGTGCTCATTTCTGATGGTGCTCGTTTCTGATTGTTCCTGGCCCCCCTAGTGGCCAGGAAGAGGCCCAGGACAGAACAATTAGAAATGAAGGGATCTTGGCCCCCCCAAAATCAAAGCACCTTCGAAGAGTCAGAAGTGAACAGCGTGTACCCTCGGGAAGGTTGCCCGTCCTCACTCTGCGGACTGACCGTCGACCAGGGCCCCCCCCCCCCCCCCGCGGCCCAAGAGGCCAGGCCTCGGCCCCCGGGGCCTGCCCGGCCAGGCCTGCCCGCAGCAGCAGAAGACGCAACTAAAGGGAAATTAGGACACACAAATAAATACACACAAATAAAAATAGTCCCCATATTTTCCCATATTTTCTGGGTTTCTGTCTTCCCCCCCACTTCCCATATTTTCCCATATTTTCCTGGGAATCGCCGATTAATTGTGTATGTGTGTTTTCTCCCCTCCTGAAGAAGACGCAACGCAAATGTCAACTCTCGGAGGTCCGCGCGACTAGTTCTTGGAGCGGCGCTGGACCCCGGCGCGCGGAGCGCGCCAGGGGGCGGCCCGCAGGCGCCGCCAGGGGGGGAGTTGGATGAGGAGGAGGAGGAAGGAGGAGGAGGAGGAGGAGGAAGAGGAGGAGGAGGAGGAGGAGGAAGAGGAGGAGGATCAGGAGGAGGAGGAGGAGGAGGAGGACCAGGACGAGGAGGAGGAGGAGGGAGGAGGAGGAGGAGGAAGTGGAGGAGGTGGAGGAGGAGGAGGAGGAAGGAGGAGGAGGAGGAGGAAAGGGAGGATGGCCCAGCGCCGCTCCAAGGACTCCGTGCGGACCTCCCAGCGTTTGTGCTCGTGCGCGTGCTCTTCCTCGAGCGCGGGGGAGCGAGCACGAGCGTCGGGAGCAGGCCAGCCTCAAGCCAGGGGCAACGTTCGGGGGGGGCCGGCTCAGGAGGGGCCCCCGATTACGTGGCCGCACGCCCCTTGGCGGGGTGGGCCATCGGGCCCCTATCGGCGATGAATGGGCGGATTTAGGGAGCCCACAAAGGACGTACGCGCCCAGCGATGTACATGAACACGGCCCCTCGATCCGCGAGACTGGCCGAGTGATACGAACATTCGGGCCATGCGTACTCTCGAAACCAGCGCGGCTTCATGCACCTGCACGTCCTTCTCTCGCTCCTGAGGATTGGGGGTCGACACCTCCCCCCTGAGCTCATCCCCCCCTGGCGTTGCCCCTGACCTCTTCGACGCCGAAGGGCTCTCGGGCCACAGCTCGGGACTCCGGCGGACGTCCGGGACGCTCCGGGCGAGGCGCTGCTGCCGGGCTGGAAGGCCGCCGAGGGCCATCGACGACGCTCGAAAACCTTAAACCTCGAATGTATCGTCCGACGACGCTCGAAAACCTCAAGCCTCGAACGTATCGTCCCCCCCGTAAGATTTCGAGGCGGAGCCAACCTTGGCCACGAGGGCCCCCGCCAGGGCGACCAAACCCTTCCGGAGAGCGCTCCTCGAATCTCCGCCCTCGACTCTCGGTCGTCTCCTCCCGGAGCCTATCCCCTCCGAGACATGCGATGCCGTGATTGTTTCCAATGGCGGGGCCTTCCGGGGGAGGAGGAGGAGGAGGAGGAGGAGGAGGAGGAGGAGGAGGAGGAGGAGGAGGAGGTTTTTCCCTGAGGCCCGACGCTGCAAAAAACATCGGAGCGGCGGGATTTGGGCAGTCTTCGGCCCTCGAGGGCCCTCGCTGGGCCTCGGGAGCGTCAAATAACGGTTCAGGACGAAAAAACGGTCAGGACGAAAAAACGATTCAAATAACGATTCAAATAACGATTCAAATAACGATTCAAATAACGATTCAATAACGATTCAAATAACGATTCAGGAGCGTCAAATAACGATTCAAATAACGATTCAGGACGAGAAAACGGTCCCGCGGAAGTGGTCCGGACCTCCGGGGCCCACGCACCGAAGAAATGGGAGCAGCCAGATGTCTGGGCTCTCATCCCGAGCAGCTTGGTCCCAGGTCCCGGCGAAGACCCCTGGGAGTCGAGAGCGGCTGTGAGGCCTCCCTTCGAAATTTCTCCATGGTGCGAGCATGTCTGTGCTCTGGCGTTGCCTTAGGTCGGGCCTGTCCCCCTACAGGGGGATTTCCGACGAACAATAAAACATACCCCCAAAATATTCCAAAATGGTTTGAAAAAATACTCCAAAAAATAGTCCCCAGACTATTCTTTGACTACTTTTGAATCTTCCCCCTGTAGAGGGACAGGCCCGACTTAAGCGTTGCCCCTGAGCCCAAGGCGCCCCCCCCAGCGGCCCGCGGGGCTGGTGAGGCTTCGGGTGCGCACGGACAGCCCCCCCCCCCAGGAGGTCCCAACCAACAGGCCCCCCGAGTAGTCCCAGCTGGCCTCAACAGGCCCCCCGAACAGTCTGGGGCGGTCTCAACACGGGGGACTCCGAAGCCGCGCGAAAACGCCCGGAGTGAAACAAATGCACAACCCCGCAGAGATCCGATGTATTGTGTTCTCAATGCGGGGCCCCCGAAGTCGCGACCCTTTCCGCACGGCCAGTTGGACACCCCGAGCTGTCATCGACAGTCCCGCGGCCTGGCGAGGGCCCACAGAGACCGAAAACGACGAAAAGACTCCGCTCTGGATTTTTCAATATGTTGGAGGTCTAGGCTTTGTGAACAGCCCACAAATAGGCGGCGCGACCGGGGGGGTAGTGAGAAGGGGCGGACGTTCTCAGAAGGCTCGGAAGTCTACATGCCTTCTGAAAAGTTTGCAAGGCCTTCTCCGAAGAAACAAAAAACCTCTCAGAAGGCGCGAGGGCTTCTGAGAAGTCCTGCCGCCCTCTGATAAGGCCCCCCCTTCGTTCGCCGCCGAACAAAGGACGTGCGCGCCCAACCGTGTGCTTGACCACGGCCCCCCCGTCCGCGAGACCAGCCGCGCGATACGAACGTTTGCGCAATGTTGGCGGCGCACACAAGGGGGTAGGGGGAGGGGGGAAGGCTTCTTAGAAGGAGGCTGCTCCTTAGCGGGCGGCGGCCCTGCATCTACACAGCAGGCCCGCGCCTTCTCCCAGAAGCAGGGCTTGCTTCTGAGAAGCCTTCCCCCCTCCCCCCTGCCCCCCTCTGCACGTGGCCGACAATGCGTGTGCGTCCTCTTTTGGGCGCCCGAGTTATCCGGGGTAACTCGGGTCCGGGGAAACTCGGGTTTGGATTCCCGAAAAAGGAACCCGAGTTACCCCTGACCCGAGTTACCCCTGATGATTCGGGGCTCTGGACGCCCGAGTTATCCGGGGTAACTCGGGTCCGGGGTTACTTTGGTTTGAGTTCCCGAAAAACGAACCCGAGTTATCCCTGACCCGAGTTACCCCTGATGATTCGGGGCTCTGGACGCCCGAGTTATCCGGGGTAACTCGGGTCCGGGGTAACTCGGGTTTGAGTTCCCGAAAAACGAACCCGAGTTAGCCCTGACCCGAGTTACCCCTGATGATTCGGGGCTCTGGGCGCCCGAAATATCCGGGGTACCTCGGGTCCGGGGTAACTCGGGTTTGAGTTCCCGAAAAACGAACCCGAGTTAGCCCTGACCCGAGTTACCCCTGATGACTCGGGGCTCTGACCTGCCCCCCTTTGCACGTGGCCGACAATGCGTGTGCGTCCTCTTTTCGCTCCGGACTGCGCGCGGCCCGAGGCCTTAATTTCGGGGATGGACAGACCTCCCTTTAGTGAAACGTGGTTTCGTGAAAAACGACCTGAGGCCCAAACCCGGCGGGCGCAGGCCTGGAAAATGACGGCCGCGGCGCCCTCTCGAGAACCGAAAACGGACAATTCACTAATCGACGTGTCACTGTTGGGGGTTTTGTCCGCCCCCGAACTGCGCGCGGCCCGAGGCCTTAATTCCGAGTTACCCCTGATGATTCGGGGCTCTAGACGCCCGAAATATCCGGGGTAACTCGGGTTTGAGTTCCCGAAAAACGAACCCGAGTTATCCCTGACCCGAGTTACCCCTGATGATTCGGGGCTCTGGACGCCCGAAATATCCGGGGTACCTCGGGTTT